GCAAACCGCAGAGTCACACCTGGCTAGAGGGACCCAGCATGAGTAATGCAGGCCTGCCCCTGGGGACAGAAGCCCAGCCCCCCTCCCCCGCTCCCCCCCACTCCCCTCCCCCCCAACTCCTGGCCCCTGTGCTGGGGTTCCCACCTCCTCCGCCAGGGCTTCCTTCCTCATTTCACGCCCCAAATGGAGCTGCCTTCTTTGGTTCTTTTTATTTTTTAATATATTTTATTGATTTTTTTTTTTTTTTTTTTTTTTTACACAGAGGAAGGGAGAGGGATAGAGAGTTAGAAACATCCATCAGCCGCCTCCTCTCCTGCACGCCCCTTCCTGGGGATGTGCCTGCCACCAAGGTCCATGCCCCTTGACCGGAATCGAACCCGGGACCCTTCAGTCTGCAGGCCGATGCTCTATCCACTGAGCCACACCGGCTTCGGCAAGAAGTTTAAGTTTAAAAAATGTGGCTCTCCAAAGAAATGCTAGAAGGGAGAGCAGGGAGGAGGGGGCGCGAAGCCCCACTGAAGAGACAGGCAGTGCCAGGGGGCTGCCTGGATGGGAGTCTGAGCAGATGGGAGGTGTGAGGGTGGAGGTACCGCGGTAGCTGGCCCTGGCCCAGGCACTGAGTTTCAGGCGTGGCATGCGGTCTGTCTGAGGTGACCAGCCAACCAGAGGTAGAGATTGGCAGGGCAGCCGAAGCCAGTTTGGCTCAGTGGTAGAGCGTCGGCCTGCGGACCGAAAGGTCCCAGGTTCGATTCCGGTCAAGGGCATGTACCTTGGTTGCGGGCACATCCCCGGTAGGGGGTGTACAGGAGGCGGCTGGTCGATGTTTCTCTCTCATCGGCGATTCTGGCTCTCTATCTCTCTCCCTTCCTCTCTGTAAAAAATGAATAAAATATATTAAAAAAAAAAAAAAAGAGAGAGAGAGAGAGAGAGAGAGAGAGAGAGATTGGCAGGGCAGGCAGCCACCGCCCCTCCCCTCCCCTCGGCTTTGCCCCAGAGGCTGGTGGCCAGCTGTTGCCCAGCTGCACGAGGCTGCTCTTGGCTGAGGTCTGGAGGGCGGAGGCCAAGGGTCAGCTCTGTCTTCGGAGCCACCCCGCCCCAGCTCCGCTCTGTCCCCCCGCAGTTCAGGAGGGTCTGTTCAAAACCACCGCCACCGAGTGGGTCCTGCTGAACGTCAACGTGACTGGCTATTACCAGGTGAACTACGACACGGACAACTGGAATAAGATTCAGGCGCAGCTGCAGAGGGACCTGAAGGTCAGTGGGCGTCTGCCACCCGGACCTGGGCCCCGGCCCCCGGCCCAGCCCGAGGTCACGGCCAGAGGTCACCCCCTCTGTTGCTCCTTCTAGGTCATCCCTACCCTCAACCGGGCACAAGTCATCCATGATTCCTTCGACCTGGCCAGGTTAGTGCCGCCTCCCTCCTCGGGCCCAGGCGGGCTCTGCCGGGAAGGCCTTGTGCCCCGGGCACATGCGTTTCCATAGTGACAACCCCTGAGTCTGACCTGCAGGTGTGAAGGGTCCCGGGTTCGATTCCCCCCAGCCCCCCACCCCTCACACTGTGAGCAGCAGGCTTGCCTTCTTCTTTTTTTTTTTTTGTTAATCCTCACTCGAGGATACTTATTTTTTTCTTAATATATTTTATTATTTTTTACAGAGAGGAAGGGAGAGGGATAGAGAGTTAGAAACATCGATGAGAGAGAATCACCGACCAGCTGCCTCTTGCACACCCCCTACTGGGGATGTGCCCGCAACCAAGGCACATGCCCTTGACCGGAATCGAACCGTGACCTCCAGGTTCATAGGTCAATGCTCAACCACTGAGCCACGCCAGCCGGGCATGCCCCGTTTCTTTTCTTAAAATATATATTTTATTGATTTTTTTTTACAGAGAGGAAGGGAGAGAGATAGAATTAGAAACAACGGCCAGCTGCCTCCTGCACACCCCCCACTGGGGATGTGCCCGCAACCAAGGCACATGCCCTTGACTGGAATCGAACCTGGGACCTTTCAGTCCGCAGGCCGACGCTCTGTCCATTGAGCCACACTGGCTAGAGCCTCAGCTTTACGACGGGGATAAAAAGCAAGGGATTGTGGCTGGCAGTGGCGGGGAGGGCAGGGCCTGGCTGGCCTTGTTTGTGGAATCACCCAGCACCCACATTCCCCAGCACCCAGTGAACCCTGGAGCTGGTGCAGCTGGGGCTCTGGGACCTCAGGCTCCAGGGTTCCCAGAGAGGAGTAGCTGGGGGTGCTAAGTTGAGCCCCTCTGTTTGACACCCCTCCTCCCCCCAGTGCCCGTCAGGTCCCGGTCACGCTGGCGCTGAGCAACACCCTCTTCCTGATCAACGAGACAGAATATCTGCCCTGGCAGGCCGCCCTGAGCAGCCTGAGCTACTTCAAGCTCATGTTCGACGGCTCCGAGGTCTACGGCTCCATGCAGGTACGGAGGGGGGAAGCGGGGACCGTTTCGCCAGGCGCCTGTGGTCGCACCGTCAGGAAGCCCGTGGAGGCATTGCCTGGCACCTGGCGTGGCGAAACCCTCCAGGCCGACCGGCCCCGGGCCTTTGTGTGAGCTCAGGCTGGGCATCAGGAGGTGGGCAGGTTGGGGAGGGCCAGGCAAGGGCCCAGGCCTCCAGCAAAGTGGGCGGATGTGGATGGCAGCCCTTTCAGGAGAGGCTTCTGTGCTGGGGCGTGTGGCCTCGGGTACCCCTCCTGAGCCCAGAGAACCCCCCCCCCTCTGGGAAACGTCTAGCTGTCTAGCGAGCTCACAGGGCAGAAGGGGCGGGAGATGCAGGGGTTAGCAGCTTTAAAACAGAGGACTCCCATGCCGAAACCGGTGTGGCTCAGTGGGTAGAGCGTCGGCCTGCGGACTGAAAGGTCCCGGGTTCGATCCCGCTCAAGGGCAGGTACCTTGGTTTCGGGCACATCTCCAGTAGGGGGTGTGGTGCAGGGGGCAGCTGATCGATGTTTCTCTCTCATCGATGTCTCTATCTCTCTATCCCTCTTCCTTCCTCTCTGAAATCAATAAAGAAATATATTTTTAAAAAAGAGAGAGAGAGCCGAAACCGGTTTGGCTCAATGGATAGAGCATCGGCTTGGGGACTGAAAGGTCCCGGGTTCGATTCCGGTGAAGGGCATGTACCTTGGTTGCGGGCAAGAGGCAGCTGGTCGATGACTCTCTCTCATCGATGTTTCTAACTCTCTCTCTCTTCCTCTCTGTAAAAAATCAATAAAATACATTAAAAAAGAACAGAAAAGAAAGGAATGGTGATGGTTAGAGTGTTGGGGTGCTGAGGTCTGTGGGGAAGAGCCTCAGCTCCACCATCAGATCCGGGTCAGGAGGGATGGGGGCTCTGAGTGCCATCCGGCCCCGGGGGTGGGCTCCGAGCCTCTGGTCGCTTTGCCTCTGACGGCTGCCCACCCGCACCCGCCCGCACAAGGCCCCTCGGGGCTCCCGGCAGGCCAGGCTGGAGTCTCAAATCTGCAATGGAGCTGAAACCGGTTTGGCTCAGCGGTAGAGCGTCGGTCTGCGGACTCAAGGGTCCCGGGTTCGATTCCGGTCAAGGGCATCTATAATACATTGATTGCAGGCACATCCCCGGTAGGGGGTGTGCAAGAGGCAGCTGGTCGATGTTTCTCTCTCATCGATGTTTCTAGCTCTCTATCTCGAACCCGCCCATGCTCTCTCTTCCTCAGAAATACCTGAAGAAGCAGGTCACGCCCCTCTTCCAGCACTTTGAAACTATCACCGTTAACTGGACGAAGCGCCCCGAGAACCTGATGGACCAGTGAGTGTGACCTCTTCCGGGTCAGGAGGTCACGGGGGCCCCAGCCACCCGACCTGGGGGAGGGGAGTCCGGCAGGCCCCGCCGCCCCCCCCCCCCACCTCTCCGCTCCCGGCTGCACTGGGGGCGCCAGGCGGGGAGCCGTCCCCACCACCAGGGGCCCTGCCATCTCTGCCTCTCTGCTACGGTGGCCAGACGTCCCGCTTTGGGCGAGACAGTCCCGATTTCCAACCATTTGTCCCGCGTCCCGCGGCATTTTTAAAAAGTCCCGATGTTTGGGGGAAAAAATTTTGAGAATCATTTTGGAAAAAAAAAAAATCAGGACTTTTTTATTTTTTAAAATTATCTTTCTTTTCTTTTTATATTTACTGTCCACATTTTTATTTTTTTTTTATTTTTTTTTTAAAGAGGCAAATAGTGTTTTAGTATTATTTATTTATTTATTTATTTTTTAAATTATATTTCATTGATTTTTTCACAGAGAGGAAGGGAGAGGGATAGAGAGTTAGAAACATCGATGAGAGAGAAACAGCTGCCTCTTGCACACCCCCTACCGGGGAGGTGCCCGCAACCAAGGTACATGCCCTTGACCAGAATCGAACCCGGGACCTTTCAGTCCGGTATCGACATTTTTTCCTTTCTTTTTTTTTTTAAATCAGGACTTTTTAAAATGCCACGGGATGCGGGACAAATTGTTAAAAATCGGAACGTCTGGTCACCTTACTCTTTGCACAAAACCAAACTGCAACTCGCAGGTCCCCTCACCGACCTGGTCACTGAGATCCTAGATGGGGAAGCTGGGGCTGGCACAGAGCAAAGGGGTCCCCGGGCACGGAGCAGAGGGGGGCCCCGAGGACACGGCGGGCCGCAGCCTTAGCGCCTCGCCTGGCCACCCCTCCTGGCGCCCGGTGTGGGCTGGGGAGCCCTGGGCAGCCTGACCAAGTGTCCCCCGGGGCAGGTACAACGAGGTCAACGCCATCAGCACCGCCTGCTCCAGCGGGGTCCCGGAATGCAAGAAACTGGTGTCAGACCTTTTCTCCCAATGGATGAGCAACCCCCAGATCAATCCGTGAGTGTCTCCCTGCTCCTCCCCGAGCTTTGTTCGCCCCCTCAAGCCCATAGCCCTAACCTGATCCCACCTTCCCTGCTGCTGCTCCACCACTGACCGCTGACCCCCGCCCCCTACTCCCCACCCCGCACGCCAGGATCCACCCCAACCTGCGGTCCACCGTCTACTGCAACGCCATCGCCCAGGGCGGCGAGGAGGAGTGGGACTTCGCCTGGGACCAGTTCCGGAAAGCCACCCTGGTCAACGAAGCTGACAAGCTCCGCGCAGCCCTGGCCTGCAGCAAGGAGGTCTGGATCCTGAACAGGTGAGCCTGCGGGCACGGTGGGCGAGTTCCCTCCCCCCCACTTCCCGGGATCCCGGATGGAAGAGAAAGAACCGTCCTCACAGGGCCTCCATACTCACCAAATGGCAGGATGCTCCCATTTTACAGATGGGGACACTGAGGCTCGGAAAACTTGCCCAAGGTCAAGAAGCTTTAAGGAGTGATAGAGTCAAGAATCGAGCCCACGTCTGGGCTCATGTCCTGTTTTTTTGTTTGTTTGTTTGTTTGTTTTTAAATATATTTTATTGATTTTTTTACAGAGAGGAAGAGAGAGGGATAGTTAGAAACATCGATGAGAGAGAAACATCCATCAGCTGCCTCCTGCACACCCCCTACTGGGGATGTGGCCACAACCAAAATACATGCCCTTGACTGAAATCGAACCTGGGACCTTGCAGAGGGTGTGCAAGAGGCAGCTGATGGATGTTTCTCTCTCATCGATGTTTCTAACTCTCTCTCCCTCTCTCTTCCTCTCTGTATAAAAATCAATAAAATATATTAAGAGAAAAAAAAAAAAAAGGCAGAGACTGGTTTGGCTCAGTGGTAGAGCGTCGGTCTGCGGACTGAAAGGTCCCAGGTTCGATTCCGGTCAAGGGCATGTACCTTGGTTGCGGGCACATCCCCGGTAGGGGGTGTGCAAGAGGCAGCTGGTTGATGTTTCTCTCTCATTGACGTTTCTAGCTCTCTACCTCTCACCCTTCCTCTCTGAAAAAATCAATAAAATATATATTTTTTAAAAAGGGATGGGGGAGATGGAGGACAGCTGTGTGGGGAGGGCAGGTGCCAGCCTGGCTCTCCGTCGAATCATCTCACCGCGGCCCTCGGTCGCGATCACTAACGCAGACCCTGCCCCCACAGGTACCTGAACTACACCCTGAACCCCGACCTCATCCGGAAGCAGGACGCCACCTCCACCATCAGCAGCATCGCCGGCAACGTCATCGGGAAGACGCTGGCCTGGGACTTTGTCCAGATCAACTGGAAGAAGCTCTTCAACGAGTGAGTCGCCCGAGAACGTGGCAGCCCCGGGGCGCAGGATGTCTCTGTGCGCGGAACTCAGCAGGGCCGGGAGCGAGGGGTGAGCCCTGCCAGGGCGCGGGGGCAGCCAGCGAAAGAGCAGACGGGGGAAGAGACAGTCTGGCTGGTGGGAGTGAAGTCTGGAGAGATGGGAGCCAGGACATCCCAGGGAGACCCGTGTTCAGGTCCCCTTGCATCGCATCTGCAAGACGGACCAATCACAGGGCGGCTGTGCGGATGCAGCATCGCCTGTCAGTCACTGAGTGCTAAGTCCCGCCCTCCTCACGGTTCATCTTTCTCCCTGATCTGCAGTTATGGTGGCGGCTCCTTCTCCTTCTCCAACCTCATCCAGGCCGTGACCCGACGATTCTCCACTGAGCATGAGCTGCAGCAGGTGAACATCCGGGTCTAAGGGGTGGGGGGGTGGGGGGTGGCCGCCAGTCAGCTCCCCTGAGTGTGGTCCCTGGGAGTGTGGCTCCTTGTGGTCAGGCCTCCCTCAATGAGAGACACTGGGTGTCCAGACTTTTTCTTTCTTTATTTTTTATTGATTTCATAGAGGAAAGGAGAGATAGAAATATCAATGATGAGAGAGAATCATTGATCAGCTGCCTCCCGCACGCCCCCTACTGGGGATCGAGCCCACAACCCAGGCATGTCCCCTTGACCGGAATCGAACCCGGGACCCTTCAATCCGCAGGCCAACGCTCTATCCACTGAGCCAGATCAGATCGGACAGGGCCCACTCTGTCTTGATTACTGTAGCTTTGTAGTGAGTTTTAACATTAGGAATATGAATAACACAACTTGGTTCTTTTTTTTGTGCAAGATTATTTGGCTCTTCTGGGTCCCTTGAATTTCTTTATGAGTTTTAGGATCGGATGCTATTTCTGCACGAAAGAGCCATTGGAACTTTGATAGGGATTTCATAGGATCTGTTGATCCATCCATTCAGGGAGTGTTGCTATGTTAATAACATTAAACCTCCCCATCCATTAACATTTATGGGGTCTCTTTTTCCTTTTACTTAGGTCTTCCTAATCGCTTTCCAAAATGTCTCATAGTTTTCTTGTCAAGTGTATTTCCAAGTGTTTTATTCTTTCTGATGCTATTGTAAACGAAGCTGCTCTCTTTAATTTCGGTTTCGGATTTTTCACGGCTGCTCTGTAGAAATACAACTGATTTTAACATATCGCTCTTGTATCCTGCCATCTTGCTGGACTCATTCGTTCAAATCACTTTTGGGTGTAGATGTCTAGGGATTTGCTGTATGCAGATTATGTTATCTCTACGTCTTCTTCTCTTGTCTAATTGCCCTCGTTGCAATGCCCAGTACTAACGCAGTTTTTAATCTGTAACATCTTTAAAAAAAAAAAAAAAAAAAAAAAGAAGCAAACAAAACAAACCACAACTGGGTCATTGGTATTAGGAAAATGGCCACCTTTTAAATTCAGCCGCTCGGTTGCCATGGCGTGTGTTTCACTTGCCACTCTCCCCCCCCCAACCCCCCCCCCCTTGATGGGATTGAGCCTGCAATTCAATTAAAAACCGAGAGTCCATGCTGGCGGAGAATCACACGCTGCAGGCTCAATCATCTAGGAGCCTGATTGAACCCTGGGGGCTGTCACTTCTTAGCTCTGCTCCAGATAAGGACTTGGCCAGAGGTGGGGGATGGAGGGGGAGGGGGGGGGAGGGCCAGGACCGGGCCCCTCTGCTCAGAGCCGCCGGGAGACCAGCCTGGGCTGAGGCTCTCTCCCCTTTCCCCCGCAGCTGGAGCAGTTCAAGAAGAACAACATGGACACCGGCTTCGGCTCGGCCACACGGGCCCTGGAGCAGGCGCTGGAGAAGACCAAGGCCAACATCAAGTGGGTGAAGGAGAACAAGGACGTGGTGCACACGTGGTTCAGAGACAACAGCATGTAGGTGCCCAGGCTGCGCCGCGGGCATCTGTCCCCGTGGCTCGCCCGCCCTGAGGCCCCGGGCCCGCCCTCAGGGCCCCAGTCCTCGCCCGTGTCCTCTCCTCTCTGTCCGGGGAGCCAGTCCAGCTCCCCACCGACCGACCAGACACCTCCCAGCCCCCGCCCTGCCCCTTGTGCCAACCGCGCCCCAGGCCTGGCGTGGCTCCTGCCGCCCAGAGCGCTGGGGCAGATCTCAGGGAAGCCAGAGCAGCAAAGCCCTTGGCTCGGCCTCAGGGAGCTGCCTGCGCCCCCTCACCTTCCCACAAAGAAAGACCCTGAACCTGGGGACGCCACCCGACACCAGATCTGTATATTTTTTTTTTTTTTCTAAGAGAAAGTATAGATAAAAGGATTTCTAGATGAGCTTCCAGACTCATGACTGAACCAGAACAGGACGGGGTGCTGCACGGCAGCTGGGAGCCGGGGCTAGAGGGGGTGGTGTGTGGGCCAGCACGGCGGGTTTCAGGTATGTCAGCCCCTGTGTCCTGCACAAGTGACCCCAAATCCCCGGACTTGGGTTTTGTCTGCGCGATGGAGACTGGTGTGTGGTTGGAGGGAGTCTGTGCACTGACCACTGGGCCTGACGGGTAAGAGGAAGTGGCTGTTATTATGGTGCAGGCCCTGTCTCTGGCTTCAAGGCCCTCTCCCCTCAGATGCCCCTGTGCTCCCCTGGTGCCTGCACATCAAAGAGGAAGGGGGGGCCTGCCGAGGTGGGGTGCGATCCCTCCACCAATCAGGTCCCCTCCAGGCCAGCCCTTCCTGTCCCCAGCGCCCAGCAGCAGCGGCTGGCACTTGACCTTTGGGGACCAGAACTCAGGGCCCTGTTGGGGGAGGGGTCAGCAAGGACCCTCGTCTCTGTGCCTGGCACCAAGCTCAGTGTGTATGCGCATTCTCTCATCTGGTTCCCAACAGTCAGGGAAGCAGATAGGCACAGTCTTTATCTGGGTTTTGCTGATAAGGAAAGAGGCTCCGGGAGGTTAAGTCTCAATTCAGCGGAGCTAGAAGGAGGCCTAGATCGGGGGCTTCTGCCCAAGTGAGTGGCATTGAGGCAGGGTCCATGACAGACACACCTCACATGCTCGGCCAGGGCCACCTGACAACTCACTTCGCCGGCATGCACAAGGCCCGTGTGGCTGGAGGAAACTGGTTCCCGGGCTGCAGCAAGGTCGGAGCTAGACCTGCCTGCAGAACCTTGCTCAAGCAGAAACCATTTTGGCTCAGTGGACAGAGCGTCGGCCTGCGGACTGAAGGGTCCCAGGTTCGGTTCCGGTCAAGGGCATGTACCTTGGTTGCAGGCACATCCCCATTAGGGGGGTGTGCAGGAGGCAGCTGATGGATGTTTCTCTCTCATCGATGTTTCTAGCTCTCTATCCCTCTTTCTTTCTCTCTGTGGAAAATCAATAAAATATATTTTTTAAAAAATCAATAAAATATATATATTAAAAAAAAAAAAAAAAAGAACCTTGCTCAAGGTCACACACAGAGCGGGAGCCCACTGGGACCCAGATTGCTCACTCCTCATCTGTCTGGGGCTCAAGTCCCCGGGGGAAGGCAGGATCTGAGGATCCACCGGAAGCAACTGGGGTACAGGGTCCCCTCCCACCTCCGCACCATCCGGGAGATATGTCCTTCTCTACACGGTGGGGTCACTGAAAGGCTGAGATGAGCCGAAACTGGTGTGGCTCAGTGGATAGAGCGTCGGCCTGCGGACTGAAAGGTCCCAGGTTCGATTCTGATCAAGGGCGTGCACCTTGGTTGCGGGCACATTCCCAGTACGGGGTGTGCAGGAGGCAGCTGATCGATGTTTCTCTCTCATCGATGTTTCTAACTCTCCCTTCCTCTCCCTTCCTCTCTGTAAAATATCAAAGGCTGAGATGAGGCGCGTAGATGGTGAAAGATGAGACAGAGTGGGTCGGAGACCAGGAGACCAGGACACAGGCTTTATTCGGGAGAAGACCCCTGCCGGGCTGCCTTCCAGAGGAGAAACAGCCCACATGCAGGGATGGACACGCCTTTTGAGGGGAGGAAAAGGAAGGGGCGGGGCTTAGGGCACTCAGCACACGCTGATTGGTTGTTTCCTGTAAGCCACATGATTAGGGACCTAGGGAATTAGGAATCGGGGGCTTAGGGTATTGGGCAGGTGCTGATTGGCGGTTCAATGTCCAGTACCTGTAAGGTGCCTGGTCAGGTGCTCAGGAATGTCCGT